AAGAAATCCAATCTGTTTCAGACGTTTTTCTTACATTATTTTTATGAGAGTGTTATGCATGTTTTATTACACCCCCCCCCCCCCTCATATCACGGGAAAATATCTTCAAAAGGTGAAGGATTCGTAATAATGCCTGCTTTTTTAAAGAATTTGATGAAGTTAAACCATGTACTTAATCGAAAATATTATTTACAACATGTACAGACAAGAGTAATGTTTATTTTTGAAAAAAAAATTACTTGCATTTTTTTTTTCAATCAACCCCACTGAGCTTTTAACCTTTGATATTTTCCCTGTCCAAATAAAATGATCGGCATGGGCCACGTGTGTCCAAGCATCTTTTACTGTTGAGTTAGCAATGGATTACATGACTTCTGAGACGCATTTTTCAATAAAAGTAAAATAGGATAATTCTTTCGACATGTGCACATCCCTGTAACGATAGCAGTAGTCAGGTAAATGTTTTTATCACTGCGTTTGACGCGTTTTCTCGACCTGCATGGGTGTTTGATGTACAGGTATGTATTCCGTGTTAGTTCATTTATTTTCTATAATGCAGCAAATGCATTCAAAAATAATTTAATTCTCGGTATAGTTCTATGTGAATTTTTACTTTTCAAACATGTATTTGGTCAGTTTATATACTTCTAAAAACTTTGTTATCGGAGATGTGTACATGTCGACAGTCAGGCTAGAAAATCACTCAAGTGAAGCAATCGTACAAGGCTATATATAGCAGTTACAGGTGACCAAATATTTTCAATTAAAATATGGCGGAATCGAAGAAATATGGCGGACAAAGGCGTACAGGAATGTAGTAAGTCGTACAAAGATGAAAAATGATGGCTTTTTAAGAGTTCATGTCAGCTTTAATTATATGTTCTCTATTATCCGATTTAGATACACTGCATTGTTCAAAAACACGCGAGGGAATGTGATTAATAAGACCTCAGATCTATATATAGGATTACCCCAGGTAGACACTTCTTAATAAGTTTATTCCTTTCAAGCACCAGTGTTACAACGCACTTTGAAATTTTTTTTCAAAGTGCGTTTAATTTGGGACCAAGCTAAACGCACTTTGAAAAAAATAATTTTTTTCAAAGCGCGTTAATATCGACCATATTAACGCACTTTGAAAAAAATGTAAAGCTTGATCAATGTTCTCACAAATAACCGTATGATAAATAATTGACCCTGGTTGGATAACTTTTTTTATAGAGAGATCACTTCAGGACATGAGATATTGAATATATAAATATCTTAGGTTTTGATAAATGTTATAAAAAGGAAATTGGTCTTTTAGAAAAAATAGAAAGATAATTGTTTAATATCATTATTTTGTTTCTGTTTAAAAATTCTAGTATGTAATAGGTAGATGTAAAGGGGGGGGGGGCAAAAGTGAATGACTTAAAGCATTGAATTTATCTTAAGAAAAAAGGGGTCAGTTTTATTTTTCAAAACTATTCCTCTCGACGGGAGTAAATCAATGCATAAGTGTTTTGAAAAGATAAATTACAAATATAATCTTTCCATTACTAAAATTTGAATCGAGAATTTTTTTTATTGTTTTAACATAATTTTTTCAATTAAGTGCGTTAAGTGTCTCCATGATAAAATATAATAATATCGATATAAAGTCTTCACGAGCGTTGCATGCAACGTTTTCCAGAATCAGAGAATAAATTTAATAAATCTGCTTCATACTTGTAATTTTAAATTATTCTTGGACGCCTTAAATATATTTCCTTATAATTTGTTTTATTTTCTCAAATATACCCGAATCAATTTAATTTGATAAGGATCGGGTATGTTATTTCAAGTATTTACAGATAAAGGAATGATATGTAATGAAAATTCATAAAATTCTTTAAAAATTAAATACTGAAAGTCGAGTTCTGAGTTTTTGTCTGTGTGTCTATTCGTGCATGAAAAGCACTCTGGTATCAAAAAGAAAGCATAAAATAACGTACGGAAGCGTATTAGGGCCGCAGCAATATATTTTTTTTTTACAACAAATTATTAATTTGTTATAACAAATTATTAATTTGTTATATATAACAAATTATTAATTTGTTATAACAAGTTATTAATTTGTTATAACAAATTATTAATTTGTTATAACAAATTACTAATTTGTTAAAACAAATTAATAATTTTTTAAAACAAATTAATAATTTGTTAAAACAAATTATAAATTTGTTATAACAAATTGATAATTTGTTATAACAAATTGATAATTTGTTTTAACAAATTGATAATTTGTTATAACAAATTATTAATTTGTTATAACAAATTATCAATTTGTTATAACAAATTAATAATTTGTTTTAACAAATTAATAATTTGTTTTAACAAATCAATAATTTGTTTAAACAAATTGATAATTTGTTTAAACAAATTGATAATTTGTTATAACAAATTGATAATTTGTTATAACGAATTAATAATTTGTAATAACAAATCAATAATTTGTTTAAACAAATTACTAATTTGATATAACAGATTACTAATTTGTTTAAACAAATTATTAATTTGCTATAACAAAATAGTAATTTGATATAACAGATTTTTAATTTGTTAAAACAAATTATTAATTTGTTAAATCAAATTAGTAATTTGATAAAACAAATTACTTTTTTTGACAAAAATTGAAATGTATACAATCTACGAAAGCCAGATCAAATCAAAAATCTTAGTGTATGTCGGATTTATGAAAATAATTTGCAACTGTCAAAGTTTTTGGCAAATAATAAGGCTTGAGTGGGACTAGTGGAGTTTTATGAAGAGACTTACTTTTACAATTGACGACTGACTTTTACAATTTAAACATAGACAAACTCCAATCACTAAAATGTAAAAGTCAGCTGTCAAATGTAAAAGTAAGTCTCTTCATAAAACTCCATTGAGAGCTTTTCCAACAGGCTCTTTTTTATTATTATAAAAATTTCATGCATACAAAAGAATTAAATGACACATTAGGAATTTAATATCAAGTTTTACCAAGAGATACCCACTCAAGAATATTTTAGGTTTTATTTTTTCGTTCGTTTTCCGGCGAAGATTGTTACGGAATGTATTTTTTTCTTGATAATTTATCCGCAAATTCATTTTGGTCAATGGTGCCTCTGTTGTTCACAGCTTTATAGGAAACCATGGAGGTTCACCATGGGAGCAGATCCAGGAGTTTTGCATATATAGTATTGGGTTTGGTTTAAAGATTTTATTCTTTACACATAAATTGGGTTGAACAGTAGACATAAATGCCCGTCGAAAAGCAGTATTCAAAGTAGATCATGTCACATGTAAAGAAAGAATCCAGAGAGGGGGGGGGGTTAAAATGAACAAAATCAAAACACAAACTAGAGGTTCTGTGAGGAATGAGCTCACTAAATGACCCCCCCCCCCCCCCCCCCCGCCTCCCATGTGCTTATAATGACAAAGTCCATGTTTTGCTGTGGCCGGGAAACCCAAAATATGTGTCGGATCAAAAAGTAAAATACAATGTAGGAGGTGAACAATGGCAATATGTTATAATAAAGATTCTGTGAAAGATTCATTAAATTTCACTTCGTGGTATAAGAAGAGTTGCGGATAAGAGATGGGTACTCCAAAGCATAACAGACGGACGGACATTACAGCATACCCTCCCGCTTTTCAAGCGGGGGGATATAATAAATCAATTTATATTGTAAAATTCTGTTGCATGGCTCAAATAAGATAATAATTTTCCTAGCATACGAATTGAGTGATATGACTGTGCAGAGTCGGAAGGGGGGTGGAGGGAGGGAGGGCACGTATGGACAAACTTTCATAAATGCTTCTAAGAACATGCTATAAGAAATAGAATCTAGGATATTGATGTAATTCATCATTACATTGATGTTTGAAGTGAAAACTCTGAGCTCTTAGAGAAACATATAGGTCAAAAGCTTTGCAGACTATGTGCTTATTGTTTCACAAATTCAATATTTCAATTATTTCTGATCTGATATAGATTCCATAGATCTGTGTACAGGTCAAATATCCAAAAAAAGTAATAACAAATTAATAACAAAAATAGTTATAACAAATTAATAATTTGTTATAACAAATAAATAATTTGTTTAAACAAATTAATAATTTGTTTAAACAAATTAATAATTTGTTTAAACAAATTGATAATTTGTTATAACAAATTGATGATTTGTTATAACAAATAAAAAAAATACTGCTACGGCCCTAATACTCTTCCGTAATAACGTCTCCTCACACGACAGTGTAATACTGGTTTGTTTGAGTTTGAGTACTTAAATACATGGGTGAATTTACTGACAACAACTCAGAACTCAACTTTCACTAATTAATTTTTAAAGATTTTTTTGTTGAATTTTCATTACATAAAATACCATGATGAAGGTATTTTAAATACCTTGATAAAGCTATATACCTTTATCGGGGTATTGTGCTGGACCTGTTAACTTATATGCATTGCGTTGCAAATTACAGGATATAGCCTTAATATTACTCAAGAAAGATAACTCTATCTATGACACCCTATATTTTCACCTTCCAGTCAGGTGATGGCAAGCTTAAGCCATTTCTTATTTTCTGGATTCTTATTTGGACATACAATACATAAATTGGTATTGCCTATTATAATGTATTGTTATACTTTTGAAATTATTGATTTTTAACTTAATTAAGTTATTGTACAGTTTACAATGCAAACCATTCCTATAAAATTATACTAGGCAGTTTCATACGGATTATTTAGATACTGGGTGAAATGGTACATGGGTGTAATCCTTTAACACCCTTAGGTTGAAATTAAACTTTAAATAAAAATCGGTATCACCATAAGCAATTTAAGTTTTAAGGTATTAAAGGTAACAATTTTAATAAATCAAGACATTTTGATTTTTGAGAATCTGAAATATAAATAATGAGTAGATATATTTACTTTCGTTTTTGACCAAAGATATTTAGGCATTGAGAGCTATAATCAATGTCATATCATTCAAATTTTAGATTTGGACATGGATCCCAGCAGAAGTGCCCAGGATGTGATCAGATGTGACCTTTGTGAGACAGCTATAGTACAAATGTACTGTGATTTCTGTCATGTCAACCTTTGTAAACCCTGTATTGGAGAACACATTGCTGATGACTACAACAAACATCAAATTGTCCAAATTCAGCAAAGGAAATCCACCTTAATTTATCCACAGTGCAAAACACATGAAACAAAAAGGAGTGAATTTCAGTGTGAAGAATGCAACACGTCTGTGTGCTCTTTATGCATTATAACTGATACACATAAAGAACATACCATTACAACTCTTTTGGATATTTTTAATTCAAAGAGAGAAGTAATTAGAAAAGATACTGAAGAGTTAGAGCAAATACTTTCTCCAACCTATGAAGAGATTGCCACTGATATAGAAGCTCAGCTTGCCAATCTGGATGGAGAATATGCAAAACTTTCAACAGCTGTAACAAAACATGGAGAAGAATGGCACGAAGAAATCGACAACATTGTCAACAAACTGACAACAGAAATTGAGGATGTAAAAAATAAACATCGAAGCATTCTGAAGAAACATTTAGATGAAATTAAACAGATTATATATCAAATTGAGCAAACTTTGCTTCAGTTAAATAGAATAGATGAATCAAATGAAGTGTCCATGACTATGGAATACAGTTCTAAAATTGAAGAATTAAGCAAACTTCCACCTAAAGTGAAGATATCACTGCCTGTGTTCAGTCCAAAGGCTAAAGATACAGAACATCTTTATACATTGTTTGGATCTTTAACAGAATTAACTACCAAAACAGAAGAAAATGGCTACAAACTGAAGAAACCAGAGACACCAACCATAGAACTGCTTGAAGAACCAGAACTTATAACTACTATAAATACTGGGTATGGAAACCTATGTAGTGTTGCCTGTCTTAGTGAAGAAGAAATTTGGACAAGTGGATTTGTCAATGATATGAAATGCTTCAACATTCAAAGCTCACTCATAAAGACAATCAAAACAAAATCAGGGGTCTGGCCAGGTGACATAGCAGTGACAGGTGATGGGGATCTAGTGTATTCTGATTGGAAAACAAAGATTGTGAATAAAGTGAAGAATGAACAGACAGAGGAGGTGATCAGACTACAGGACTGGAGACCTAGTAATCTCTGTGTCACTTCCTCTGGTGATCTCCTGGTTAACATGCACAGTGATGATAAAACAAAATCCAAGGTTGTCCGTTACTCAGGCTCCACAGAGAAACAAACAATCCAGTTTGATGAGGAGGGTAAACCTCTGTATTCAGGAAATGCCAAAATTAAGTACATCAGTGAGAACAGAAACCTGGATATCTGTGTGGCTGACTTCAGAGCTGGTGCTGTAGTGGTGGTCAATCAGGCTGGAAAACTCCGATTTAGATACACTGGTCATCCTTCTGCCACAAAGAACAAACCATTTGAACCCTGTGGCATCACAACAGACAGCCAGAGTCAGATCCTGACAGCAGACTATCATAACCACTGTATCCACATCCTAGACCAGGACGGACAGTTCATCCGTTATATAGATAACTGTGATCTGAAGGGTCCATTTGGTTTATGTGTAGACAAAAGTGACACCTTGTTTGTTGCCGAGTGGAGTGGGAAGCTTAAGAAAATTAAATATCTTAGATAGACATGTATTTAAGGAATCACTGTCTAGTTAGGCCAAAAATAAAAATAGTCTTGTTTCCTGCTACCCGACCTACCCTATTTTTTTGCACCCTACCCTAAAGTTTTTTAGTTTTTGAGGGAAAATCGAAAATTTCATGATCCAAAAGTGAAAAAAATATACATTCAAGTGGTATTTCATGAAATACATATGTTTTAAATATGGACTTGCAAGAAACACTACTTATTAATATTTTAAATGATAATATTGACCAATGACATGTTTAATTTGGTTTTGTAATAGTTCATATCCAACAAATACCATTGTAAAAAATAAAATAATTTTCCAACCAACCTACCCTATTTTTTTCAGGCTGGTAGTAGGAAACTAAGACTATTATTTTTTTTGGCCTTAGTATAGTATGCCAGGGCATCAACGATACTGGGAAACATGGGATAATTTGCATAACGGGCGAAGCTAAAATTATCCCATGTTTCCCACTATTGTTGATGTTACTGGCGTAGTCTCCTAACTAGACAGTGATATTCCTTATATTTCCATTTTTACTTGAAATAACAATCTGAAAATAAATTGAAATACCGTCTAATTTAGTAGATTTGAATTGAATGCACAAGGCCCCGTGACATCAAATTTTACTATTAAAAAATAGTCCCATAAAAACACAGAACAAATTTATTGATTATGTAGTATTTTTTCACAAAGATATTTTTTTGAAGTATTTGACCTCCAAGTCAACATTGACATACATGTAGCAAATGACCTTGGTCAACCATGAGTTAAAATGTTTATAGGCACCCTCACAACATCAGGACCCTGAGTCAATATCAATATGATCCGGTTGGACAAATGACACTATGTGAACTGAGTCAGGGCCCCAGGTATAACAAGGGTATAGTCCTTGAAACTTCAAAATCAATTGTATCAAAACACAAAATTTATTAACTCCCAATCACTCAGTCTGGGACATGACAAAACTAAAACATTTCATGTCAATCCATTTTTATTTGTAAGTAATAAATTACATAAATAATTATTTCATCACTTTTAATTAACAATCAGGGATGAAGTATCACAGATATAACGAGGCAAAACGAGATCACAAGTATTCAAAGAGAGATAACTCCAACACACTGAAAGAAGAAATTGGAATGTTATGACAAAGTTTAGCATTGTTGAACAAATTGAAGTATGTTTTTTAATAAGGATTTTCTTCTACTGTGTTCTATGCATAACTTACAGATAGCATAATAAAGTAAGCTGGATCAAGAGGTCTGCAAATTTTGGTAAAAAAATATGAAAACCAAAATTTTTTTAATGCAATGAAATGTTGAATGTAAATATGATTTGGAGATGGAAATGTGTGTATTTGTATAAAAATAAACTATATCTACATGTGAACCATTTGAACAAGAAAAAACTAAATTATTGAAACTTGACATAAAAAATTATATTATGCTAAGTTGTGTCACATTTTTATACAACTTACAATATTTGCCTTTCATTCATTTCACACCAATTATACAATCATTATGTTATAGCTGCAGAAAGCCAATGATATGTATACATTTACATGTCATTTGAAAAAAAAATATATGAATTGGAATGCAATAACCATACATAATCTCCCCATAAATACACTAATGAAATGAAAAAATAAAATCACGATGTGATACATAATTTTTCCTTTCCATCCACTTAAAAATTCTTTCCCTTTCAAACTACAAGAAATGAGACAGATTTTTTTTTTCTGCACATACATGCATGCAAAAACACACAAAACAACAATTTTAAACAAAAACTTAAGGGAAAAAAAAATACAACAATTTCATGATATGCTCCACAATGAAGGCATAAGGACTTTGAACTTGTAATTGGTATAAATTAGCACTATTATTATCACTGTGTGACTTTGACTTTGTGATTTAATGTATAAATTAGCACTATTATCATCACTGTCTGTCCTGCTGTTCTCGTTGAAGCCTTTCTATAACCAGATTTGTCTCCCTTACCCCTTTGTTGTCACCGCTTTGTTGCAGGGCGTTCCTCAGATTTGCCCAGAATGGAATCATGTCTGGCTTTACTTGTGTTCCCTGTAAATTGATCAAATTAATTAATATTATTACATAATTGTTAATGACCACTTTAAACCCTCAGCAATATCTTATGTAAAAAATGGAAATTAATTAATAATCAAGCAATCAATGAATTTCAAAAACAATTTTGCCAGTTTCTTTCATTTTCAATTGATGTATCATAACAACCAAGATTTTTTAAATCTTACTTATCCCTCATGTTTGATGTATAGAGAGCTACTGAAAATTTTCATCATTTCTTAATTAAAGCAACATAGACTTATACTATGGATATGCATCAAAACAGGAGAGAGAGAGAGAGAGAGAGAGAGACTGAGAGAGAAAGTTCAATACTAAAATCAGTTGTCACTGACAAGGACATCTGTTTGTACAACACAATTTATTTTCCTACCTTTCGGAACATTTGTGCCGCCTCTTTAAACCTCTGTTTTCTCATCAGGAAGTCTCCATATGTAGCATGTACGTCCCACAACTTGGGATTCATCTCCAAACAAACCTTCAGCTTTTCTTCTGCTTTTTTATCTTTGTTTTTCTGTTAATAAAAATAAAACAAATTACACAGAATATATTTATAAATTTTGATTCTAATCTCCTGCAACTGAAATTTCCCTTATACACATGTAAGATATGGTACATGTACCAGTGATTAAAAAAAAAATAGAAAATATTGCCAAATCAAATTTTATATATTAAACAGCACAACTTGTTTTCAATTAATGTCTAATGACATTGTGCGATTATACCTGCACATGAAACAAAGTTCTTGTAAAGAATAAGATTTACAATAGTTTGATTCAGACTTCAGAGCAAAAACGAATTAAATTTTAAAATCAAATAGACGAGCTATTCTCTGCAAAACTGTCATTGCAGATGTCAACACTATGCAGACTTAAAAGCAGTTCTTGGGGTGCACTCAAGATAGATTTTCAAACCCAAAATGCCTTGGATACAGATTTGTTATCAATGTAAAAAGAATAATTTCACATTCATAAATGCTTCGATAAACAAAATGATCCTTCTAAGGATTTTGCTCTGCTGTTTAGCTAACCTGTATGTACATCTTGGCTTTGTTCAGGTGAGCTATAAGGAAGTGGGGGTCTTTGTCTATGGCCTGCTGGGTAAATTTCATTCCTTCATCAACTCTCCCTGTGTCAGAATAAGCCTGTCCTAACTTCATCAGTACTTCTGTACTCTCTGTAAATACAAAAGAAGAATATAGCATAACACGTAACACAGAATTTATTTTCTGACTTTTGCTATTGGACAACAAAAATAAATTTACTTGAGCTTTATTTGAGCTATGATATTTGAAGGCATGCTGTACGTATCAATCTGCATTCTAAAATATTCCTGCACTTTATTTCTGCCCAATTTTATAGGCTGACTATTCTAACAAAAGATAATTTTTTTTACATTAATGTAATCAATAGGGAATGCTGAAACAAATGTTGGAATCCAATGAAAAACTGTGTTTACCTACCAGGTAGAAGTTTATGGAGTTTCTGAAAAATTTGGATCCTCTCCTGCAGAAGTCGATCTCTGGTGGCACCAGGTGTAGCTTGTTCCAGATTCAGCTCTGTGAAAACGTTACGCATTTAGCTTTGAAAATGTACACTAATACAACTTGAAAAAAAGAGAGTAAATGTTGAAAGCCAACAAATTTGTATTTCTTTGTTTGACAAGAGGCCCATGGGCCACAATGCTCATCTGATTTACTGTGAAATCTCTAATTTTTGTAGGGGTTTAATCTTCGCTGTTTTCAAGGTATGAAGAGAGCCATGAATTTATGTCCACCACGAAATCCAATTTTTCACGTATATTACTACTGAACAATTCATAAACCACAAAAACAAATCCCTGTGAACCAATATTTTTCCCCTTAAACCACAAAAATTTGACCCCTTGAAAATATCTGATTTTACAGTACTTAAAATATAAAGAGGGATTTTTATTCCCTGAATTTTTTTTCAAATTATAATCATACCCTGATTTTGAGGGCTTTTTAAATATATAGACACACCATGAGATGCTGCAATACCAAAATTAATAACATGGCATCAAGTAAAAAGTTGGCCTGGTTAAGTTCAGAAGAGATCCAGAATGTGAAAAGTTAACAGATGTAGAAAGACAGACAGATATGCCATACAATAGGTGATCAAATAAAAAAGCTTATAAATTAGCAGGAATTTTTACTTGATGTCAGGTTACATGCAAGAGTAACCATATTTACATTTCTTAAATTCTCATCTTTTCAGAGTTTTTTTTTTCCTGACTAGGTCCTGTATTTGTACATGTAAATCACCGTGACTGTTGTGTGGAATTAACTAACCTTTGTAGAAGAGTTTTTCTGTTTCTATGGAAGCTTCCTTCTTCTGAATTCCAATAGCTACTGTGTCTCCCAGGTTAATTGTACCATGGTAGGTCCCCTCGGGCTAAAAGAGACAAACTATACCTGTACACTGTATAAGATAGAATATTAGGTTGAAAATTTTTTCAAGAGGAACTTCAATTACTAAATGCATAAAGAATCTTCATTACCGTAAACTATAACTTTGTGCCACATAAAATTCTCTAAAAGAGGTATAAAGCTGAACTCAGATATCTTGAACATCATGGCTATGTCAGTTTTGTGATTTGGCAGTCCCCCATTCTTTTCTTCATTTTAGCCCCAATATCTTTTAACCTTCATAATTATCTCTCTAATTTTTAACTCGGTCCCACTGAGTTTGAGATAACGAGGTTTGACTGTGAGATAAATTACCAGGTACAGTATTTCCCCCGCCTCCTGCACACACTCCATGGGTAGATCCTCCCCCGCCAGGGAGGGGTAAATCTTGTCATACCACTCCATCTGAGTAAAACCCGGGTACACTCCTGAAATCAGAAACAGTCTTAAAATTAATACTTATTTACAGGACAATGATCGATAAAGTCTTTTAATTTAGGACTATATATTTATAGTCTACTGGAAAAAAATTAAATACAGCACTGCAGGTACATGTAATAAATTTCTGAAAGTTAAAATATAAACTATACTTTACATTTTAAAATTTTTTTCATTGGCTTACATATGCTTGTACGACAGATGAGTAGAAAATACTGTTTTTTTTTTTAACAATTAATACAGTAAATTCTTATCTAAAAGTATCAGCAATTATCAATAGTACTTTCTAGTTAGGTTGTACATTTATATCCTGAAAGAAGTCTTTTAAAATGACATGAATATGACTTTTGAATATGCTTGTAACAGAAAATATAAATCAGGGACAGAGTTTTCTCCCTTTAAATCACACTTATTGAAAAAAAGCTTTAGAAATTGATAGAATTGCCTCCCTTGGCTTACCTCCTGGTGGGGTGTGGGTGGAGGGGTAGAGGAACCACCGCTTCTGTCCATATATGACCCCATTCCACGCGTCGGCGTGTTTGTGGAACGACACTCCGCTACTGGACGCCCCCAGAAAGAAAATACTGTCGTCCACCCCATCCTAAAATTTATAATGAAGAGTCATTAATTACATAAGTAAATTAAGTACAATGTATTGTCCATGTAGATCTTTGCTGTAATACACACATTTTTGTTATATGACACTCTCATATAGCTTGTGAAGTATGATTTAGATATTTCTAAGCTCTACAAAGAAAGATAACTCTAACTCCCCTCTCACTCTATTAAGAAAGATAACTCTACGCCCAGTGATTGCGCTAATTAAATTTTGAATACTGCAATTATATAAGTAAACTTTAACACAGTATTATTCAAAGATTCAAAGCACTCAGAAATATTGACAAAAATATTTGGGGGGATAATAATGTCAATTGTGGACAAATAATTGGAATAAGGGTGGCCAACAAAATCAATGAATACGCTGAAACTTGATGATCCTCTGGTTTCACAGAATGCTTACTTATTAACAGTAAATCACTTTTTCTATATTTTGCACCAATCAATAAAGCAATTCTCATTTCTTTTGCAGATGATAATGGAAAAACATGGATTGATTGACAGCATTATAGGAGATAATTATAATGTTCACACAAATCTGTGTTACACAAGGTACTTTATACAGCTTAATTATAATAAGCTCCAAATTATCTGATTTAGATACACCGTATTGTTCAAGACATGCGAGGGAATGTGATTAAATAAGACCTCAGATCTATATACAGGATTACCAAGGTAGACACCGAATTTATTCCTTTCAAGTACAAGATATTACAAAGCGGCTAAAGGACGAGAAATTTTAAGATATTCCCTCAGAGGATGTCCTGGGTATAGTGAAAAAAAAAAATCATGACAAGGAGCACAGAGTGGGTGTGACCGGTTGGCAGGTGATGCTCACTCCTCATGGCACCTGATCCCACCTCTGATGTTTTAGAAGTCCGTGTTTGCTCTACTCCTATTTTGTATTGTTTTGTGGACTTTTGATTTTGAATTATGTTTATCATCTCTATATGTTTCATTAATAAAATCACATCATTCTGTAACTACATTTTCTCTGCATGAAGAAACATATAGTTAAACTTTTGTATCTTGAACATTCTGGATGCATGTACCATTTGGATATGATGCACAGTTAACAGGGAGTCCCAACCACTTATTCCTTCAGTATTTTACCCTGGACATCCAACATCCTCATATCTCAGGCTTTTTTTTTCCACCCACTGAGTTCAGTTAAAATAAGATACTGTATCTTGATCGAAATAAGCATAAACCTTAAGTTTGTTTCCATGGCCTACTGGTCTTAATGCAAGGGTCTTCCTGAAGTAATTCCACCTTTTTTTAATTAATCATCAATCCAAAAAATTTTTTTGTCAGTTTTTAATAATATCTGAAGCAAGTCTTGAAATGTTCATTCTTTGATGCATGACATCCATGCAAGTTTGCTCCAGCTAGGTGGGGCTTATACTTATTTGGGAATGGACCTGCTCCAAAAACTTTAACCTGGTCACTCATCTGGAAAATGTAGGTGAGAGAGGGCATTCGGAGCAAGTTGGGTAGTACTATAGTGTCCATCTCTGCATCATTTATGCATGTTTGGTCCAGGTAGAGCTTAAAGATACTTGGGAATGGACCTGCTCCAAAAACTAATTGACCTGCTCCTAAAACTTAATGCAAATGCTGATGCTAATGCTGCATGGGCTCATCTTGGTCAAAGTGTGCTAAAAAGGCGTGCGTGGGGGGGGGGGGGGGGGCATTAGTAAGAAATGACTGTCTTTTTTACATTGACTTTTGTCACTCATCATACCTACTCACTTTGATTTCAAAATACTTGGGTGGTTTTAAAGTTCTTGGCAGGCTGGAGTCATTGTAGAACATTCTGTCAAAAATGTAGCTGTAAAGAGATTAAAATATTAATGCATGTGAAAATGATAGTTTCTTGCATAATTACTTGAATATAAAGTTCTCCTGAATAAAAAGTGATCTATAAGAATTCTCAATAGAATTTATTGAATTATTTAGTATTTATTGAATTAAGCATCTCTGTGTAATCTACTTGTGTGCCAAGTTACATTCAAATCAGACCAAAACTGTAGGAGGAGTAGGTTTTGAAAACAAGAGGCCCATGGGCCACATCGCTCACCTGAGAAGCATTGACCATTCTGTTCTTTACCAGATTTCCCCCTTGTTATACATAATGCATCCCCACCCTACCCCACTGATCATAATTTAGACATTTTGAAATCTACACTACCCCAAGATCCTTCCATGGGCACATATGTTTCAGCTTTTTTGGCCCAGTGGTTCCTGAGAAGAAGATTTTCAAAGATTTTTCCTATATATTTCTATGTGAAACTTTGATTCCCTATCATGGCCCCGCCCTTCCCCTGGGGGTCATGATTCCTACAATTTAGAATTTACACTACCCCAGAACGCTTCCACATAAGCTTCACTTTTTCTGGCCCAGTGGTTCTTGAGAAGAAGATTTTCAAAGATTTTTCCTATATATTTCTATGTAAAACTTTGATTCCACATTGTGGCCCCGCCCTTGCCCCGGGGGTCATTATTTGAATAATTTAGAATCTACATTATACCAGGATGCTTCCACATAAGTTTCAGCTTTTCTGGCCCAGTGGTTCTTGAGAAGAAGATTTTCAAAGATTTTTCCTATATATTTCTATCTAAAACTTTGATTCCCCATTGTGGCCCCGCCCTTCCCCCCGGGGTCATGATTTGAACAATTTAGAATCTACATTATACCAGGATGCTTCCACATAAGTTTCAGCTTTTCTGGCCCAGTGGTTCTTGAGAAGATTTCAAAGATTTTTCCTATATATTTCTATCTAAAACTTTGATTCCCCATTGTGGCCCCGCCCTTCCCCCGGGGGTCATGATGTGAACAATTTAGAATCTACATTATACCAGGATGCTTCCACATAAGTTTCATCTTTTCTGGCCCAGTGGTTCTTGAGAAGAAGATTTTCAAAGATTTTTCCTATATATTTCTATCTAAAAATTTGATTCCCCATTGTGGCCCCGCCCTTCCCCCGGGGGTCATGATTTGAACAATTTAGAATCTACACTACCCCAAGATGCTTCCACATAAGATTCAGCTTTACTGGCCCAGTGGTTCTTGAGAAGAAGATTTTTTAATGACCCAACCCTATTTTTGCCTTTTCTTGATTATCTCCCCTTGCGAGGGGATATGTCCCTTAATTTTAACAATTTAAATTTCCCTTCACCCAAGGATGCTTTGTACCAAGTTTGGTCAAAATTGGCCCAGTGGTTCTTGAGAAGAAGTTGAAAATTTGAAAAGTTTACAGACGGACAGACAGACAGACGGACGGACAGACAGACGGACGGATGACGGACAAAATGTGATCAGAAAAGCTCACTTGAGCCTTCGGCTCAGGTGAGCTAAAAACTGATACAGACAGAAAGATGGACAGACAACGGACACCTCACTATTGCATATAAGCTCTGCTGGTCTCTGACCAGTACAGGTAAAAAAAAAACTAAAATTTCTGTCGAGAGATCTAATATTAAAATAGCCAAATTCCTTGTAACTGCTTTTTGTACTCTGTGCAGGGAAGTTTTGTTTCTGTCTGAATATTAATAACTACATGTATACAAAATTATTGAAACATTATTTAAAATATACATACAATGGTTCTCCAATTTCATCCTTGTCTTTCATCAGGGAATCCACAAACTCCGAGAACGATGACTGGACATCTCCGTTCCCGCCTTTCCGGACGATATCGCGGGAATTTCCAGACAGGACGTACCACTGTCCGTACTCCTGCTTTAGGCTAGGTAGGGACCATTTCCAGGGGTTAGTCCAATCCCTGGCCCCCCGGGGAAACCTGACAATCACCGGTTTTTTAAATCGATATTTAACCTCGAATTCCTTCACAGTCAAATCACTAGCATCCCTTCTATCTACAGTACATTTGGATGACCCATACAACCTTAATGCCTCTTTTGTGGCAGGTCTCCATTTACCTGTGGAATCGGACTGCATGGAATTCTGAGAATTTTTTGAATCTTGGGAAGACTTGGATGGACTAGATGATTGTTCTGATGAATTCATCGATGAAAAGTCTGTTCTGTACATGACAATGAAGGCAATGATTATGAAGATGAAAGCACTTATTTGAACAGTTCTTGTGACTGTGGGAGATTCTTCACTTTTCCTCTTTCTTTCACTCAATCCGTTTGATACTTTCTTTCCATTCTGTGTCACAGTTCCATTGGACTTTATCTGCCTCTTTTTAGATCCCATTGTTGAAGATCTGTGAATTTTAAAAACAGAAAAAGTAGGTACATGATCATATATATATATAATAATCACACAAGAAGAAACTCAAGGTAATAATGTATCCTTTACCCATGAAGAATCTTAACCAAAGAACGAGGGCGCTTTTGATTGGCATTCGGCTGGAACCTGGGCGTAATTGAAAAGTGAAAATTTTATTGACATGTCACATGAAATTTTAATATTTTTTTTAATTTATCGGGTTCCTGTGCAACAGGAACGGAAAATAATTTCCCGAAATTGAGCTTTGAATTGCTAAAAAATAACTTGAAAATTGGCCATATCAGACATTTGGTACAAAATTGTACATTTTGAAACACATTTTTCTAAAAATTTTCTATGTCTGGGTCTTCTCTCCATTATTTTGAAAAGTTATTTGTGTGACCATGTATTTTAATTCAAAGAAACGATTACACTTTTTTAAAAAATGGAGAGAAGACCCAGAGACCACGAAAAATGAACTTTTCCCCAAAAAATCCAAATGTGTCAATGTGGTGCGTCTTTGTCCTTTTAAAGACATATGTTTATGTGTAGCGTTGACAGCTCAGAAAGTTAAGCTACCTGGTCAATGCACTCGAAGCGAAAAGTTTTTGGTTCGAGCCTGGCATGGGGCGTTAATTTTTTTTTATTCGGGCAAGCAACCATTTATTTTGTCAGTTTCGTTTTATGTACTGATGTATTAAAATTTTGAATTAGATAAATTTTGGTTCAGTTTGGTTCTCAAGCGAAATCAATTATAATATTCTATTTTATAATGTACATGTATACATGTATCATGCATCTATGCATTAAATATATTTTAGGTTTTATTTTTTGTGAAATATTACTATGTTATAGTACCCCGTAGAAAAAATCGGACATAAATGTTACAATTTCACAATATCTTTCAAACTAAATGAAAAAAAAAAAACCCATGGACGTGTTTGTAAAATCTGACCAGGTATGTTCAGCCAACCAAATCATGGACATTTAAACCATATACAGCCAATTGTGCCTAACGTTAATTTAATGTTAATCTCAATTAACATTATATTAACGTTAGCTTGTTGTTAGTTTAATGTTACTTTCGTGTTAAGTTAACGTTAAAAATATTAACATTAATTTAACGTTAATTTTTAATGTTAATTTGACTTAACATTAATTTCATGTTAATTTTTAAGTTTAATTTAACTTAACATTAATTTCATGTTAATTTTTAACATTAAATTAACATTAAAATTTTAAGTTAAGTTGGGTTCGGTCTTAAAAAACTAGAACCACAATATTAACATTAGATTAACGTTAATTATTTAATGTTAATTTCATGTTAATGTGAATTTAACGTTAATTCTGTAATGTTAATTTCATGTTAATTAGAATAACACGAGATTAATTTTATTATTCAAATTTTAGACCTAACTTTAAACAATACTTGCCAATCACTTTAGTGACAATTAATTAATTAATAAGATGTCCATATGTGGATACTCTAAACCGCCGGGGTTGGCGGTTGGGGAGGGGGGGTGTTGGCACTTGTGTCGGAAATAAATTTTTAACCCCAATATATAAAGATAACAGTTGAGTTAATATTATACCATATAGATTCAAAAAGTATTTCCGACACAAGTGTGTGTATGTGTTTGTGTAAGGTTGTGTTACAGGTGTGTGTTTGGGAAAGGGGGGTGCTCTAACTGTTAGCACCCTCTTCACCTCATCCATTTTTTTTTCATACATTCTTAAAAAAGTAAATTTTCTAGACTTAGATTATAAGCTCTATGTCTATCTTTCAAAATGTCAACTTGGATTTGGATTTTTTCCGGCTAAAAATGGTCCGTAGCTTTTATCAGGATCGGTTTTGTTTTTATCGGACGAAACTGTACGTCATGTTTGACGTCATCAGCTGTAACAGAAATTGAAAACACAGTGAAGAAGGATTTATCAAGTCTCTGTTAAAAGTAAGTTTTTTGTAGTCTTTGTAATATTACGTTTTTGAGAGTTTCATAATTTCAGAGGTCCCTAAATGTTTGAACTTTATGTACAGCAACATAACGCATAATTACTCAACAGTCCTTGCAGGTTAGTGTGTAGTAGGCCTAGGCTGTGAACGACGTGCCAGATCTCTGCTATGTTGTATATTTGTATATCAGCATAACTATTTTTATTACGTCTATTTATTGTTCAGTTTGTTAAATTTTTTTGAACACTGAAGCCTACCGGTACAGCTGTACTGCCGCCCTACGTACTATACGGAGAAAGTGAAAGTAGAAAGTAGAAATCGTGTACAAGTTAACAATAACCATCTCGAAGTTGAAGTTAAACATGCAATGTGAGCGATGTTTTCCCTGATTTTAACAGTTCATCTTAATTGGTTTCATCATTATCGAGAGAAAAAAAAGCCCGATTTGATATTTATTTTTATTGTATTTTAAACAGCTGGAACTCGGTATCACATCTGAGTCTGACTCGCACTTCTGAAATGGATCAAATCGGACTTTGTCGTCGAGACTCGGAAGAACCCAGCTGCCTAAATTATAATACCAGTGGACCACAAAACAGGTATTGAAAGTGGAACAAAATGTAAACAATTCCCACAGTAAATTTGATGACAGTGAAATTTACATTCACACACCCCAACTGATTTTTTAAAATACCAGTTATTAATTGAGTTAAGTACTTGTCACTACTTGACACTTGTCAATATTTTGTTCAGAAATATTTTATAAGCATTAAAAATCTATTAAATCTTACAGGTGATAAACTATCGCCCGTAGAGAAATGACTATAAAACAGAAGGTATCTTTTGTAAGAATTCCAGGGCTAACAAATTTGTTGGTTTTTTCTTTTACTGCATATTACAGGAAAGATACTTGTATGCAAGACATGGAGAAAAGAGCAGACTACAGACTCTATATACCATTCCTTGGTGCCTCCTTGAATTGATGTTTTTTCAGGATAACCATGCAGGAATAAAGGTTATTTATGAAATAGTACATACATAGTGTATTCATAATTTTCATTTAGAAAAATTTTATAACTTGATCTAGAGTTTATGCTAAAGAGACAAATTTAAAGCCAAGTTGCTTTCACTGTACTGAAAGTTTGCTTTGAATCAGAAACTGCACATAAAATTTGGTTTCTATCTATGAATATCATATATGTTGAAGATAGTACATTTCAAATAAATGATTTTTAATTATTTTTTTTTATAATTGTAGGTTAACTCAGTATAAAGTGTTGCTGACATGAACATGATTATCACAAGAAAGTGAATATATTTCATCACCTTAAGCAATCTTCAAAATACCAGGTAAAGTGCATTTATTCTGAACACATATAAAATATTTAAACCTATTTAATATGTCACCCCTAAATTTTTTTGAAAGTATACTGGAAACACAATGTCTGTTTGCCAGTCTCTCTGTATAGTAATATATATGGAAGTATATAGTTTTAGCTCACCTGAGCCGAAGGCTCAGGTGAGCTGTTCTGATCACATTTTGTCCAGCGTCTGTCTGTCTGTAAACTTTTCACATTTTCGACTTCTTCTCAAGAACCGCTGGGCCAATTTCAACCAAACTTGCCATAAAGTATCCTTTGGTAAAGGAGATTCAAGTTTGTTCAAATGAAGGGCCACGCCCTTATCCAAGGGGAGATAATTGGGAATTAGTGAAAATTTAGTGGCATATTTTAAAAATCTTCTTCTCAAGAACCACTGTGCCAGGAAAGATGAAACTTATGGGGAAACATCCTCAGGTAGTGTAGATTCAAGTTTATTCAAATCATGACCCCCAGGGGTAGGGCGGGGCCAAAATGGCCGACCAAAGCTTTACATAGAAATATATAGGGAAATTCTTAAAAAATCTTAATTCATCATATTTATATGGGAGCATGCTCATGTAGTGTAGATTCAAGTTTGATCAAATCATGACCCCCTATAGGAATGCATAGGAAAAACCTTTTAAAAATCTTCTTCATAACCATTAGGACAGGAATGATTAATCTCATGATCTGATGTGGAAGCATCCATAGGTTCTAAATGTAGATTCAATTTGTCATGACCCCCGGGGTTAAGGTGTGGCCACAATGATGGATCACAGACTTGCATGAGAATACATAGAAAAAAAAATTTTCTCCAGAACAGAAAAAAAATGTTTTGTCAAATTGACATGATCTGCAAGTAGTAAAAAATTTAAATTTATTCAAATAATGCCCCGGGGATTTGGGGTTAGGGAGGGGTCACAATGGGAGATCAGGTAATGTGTTGGAGAAATCTTTAAAAATCTTCTAGTTCTTTTCAAGTATGGCAAAATAATATATGTATGCTGTATTGTAATAGTGACATTTTCAAGTAATAGAAAATTCAAATCCCCCTACCCCGATAAGTATAAAGTAAGCTTCTCAATACTTAACTGATCTGGGTTTTTAGCTAGCCCATGTGCTCAGGTGAGGGATGTGGCCAATGGGCCTCTTGTTTCATTCATTATATTTTAGACAAACTTGAGTTGTTAATGTATTGCTGAAGTATTCTATTTTCATATAATTATTATAATATATGTGTTTGCCTCTCTTCTTTTTCAGATTGGAAAAAGAAAGAAGATTTGTAGCATTGTATTGAATATGCCTGATTAAAAGTATTAATGGATGAATTGGTGTTTTTCTCTTTTCTTCAGAAAATTTGAAATCTGAGGCAATGCTTAGAATATGAGAGATTTTGTTGAAAGAGCTGATGGGTCCCTTTATTCTTTTGGATATATTCAAATTGAAAAGAAAGTGACACTAGGGATGAAGTCAACATGCAAGCCTATCTTTCTGCAGTGCTACAAGGAAAAGTGCAAAATTAATGAGCTTCTGGTGTACCTTTAGAGAAATAATTATGATTATATGTTGTATCAGTTAAGCTTCTGCTATGATGCAAGAACAGGAAGGAAAATTCCAAAAATATGCACACAATTTTTATGCATTTTAACGTTAAATAAGTGTGAACAAATTAACGTTAATTTAACGCTTAACGTTAATTTAACATGAAAATAACGTTAATTAAACGTTAATTTTTTAACGTTAAATTCATGTATAAGCTCGATTGACGTTAATTTAACGTTAAATATTTAACGTTAAATTAATGTTATTTTCACGTTAAATTAACGTTAGGCACAATTGGCTGTGTAATTGTTTCGTACAAATGATTCCTGCAGATCACCCGCCAAATGCGCCCATCTTCTTACATGTTAATACAGTAACTGATTGAAAAATCTGTAACTTTCTATTTGTACAAACTTTATCTTTGCATGATTTGCAAGATAATAATTTATTTTCAAAAGAGCAAATATTTTGTTGAAATTAACTCCACAGAAGAACTTACACACAAAAAAAGAAGCATCATACTTAAAACAGAAAAGTATTTTAAAAAATTTTTTTTCATGGGGAAAAATGCCAGTGACACATATATATTTCTTTAAAAAATACACATAAATAAATGTAATACAAGCTTGTACATAAACTCACTACAATACGCTTAGCTTAATCCCTAGAAATACATCAAAATCTATCATCCCCGGGAAACGTGACACATCGGTTTAGAAGATAACAATACAAGGCTTATAGTGAATCTTAATTGATTTTTTTTAAAAGCATTATATCCCTTATAGGACCACCAGCTATCACTGTTCCACTGAAGTAGTACATAACAAACGGGCTCTTCGCTTGGATTTTGCATTACTAGTCAGTTTTTATTTGGAAGAATTTGAGGATCCAACTTTTGTTTTATTGGTGAGGGGGGGTTTGCATGAAGTCTTCTGAGCTAGGTCCCCAGTGGGTTAAGGGTAGTTTATTGGGAGGGTCCCCCATCAGCTTTAAAAAATCAGCAATTAAGACAATTATTTGGTTTGACTTAATACATTTATTACTAGTACAGTGAAGGGGGGGGGGGGGGGGTAGCTGCAGATCTGTAGCTCTCCGAAAAAATATATATACTGATAGACCGGTGAGCTTCAGTGCCACCCATTGAAAAAACTGTCCATTTATTGCGCACAAAAAAGTGCGCTCGGTTCTTGATTATTTCTTCCAAATTCTTACCTCAATTGCAAAAAAAGGAAGATTTAAAAAAAATTCTCTCTCCTCTATCAAGTACTCTCGTAGTTGACATCTGAACGAAGCATATTGGACCGAATTATCTTTGAAACCAAAATGGCAGCATAAATAAGCGAAATGTTCGATGATTACAATATCAGGGTCAGGAGGACTATTAACAACAATTATGACAAATGTTTTGTTGTGTAAAGAGTCAAAGAATATGTTAGGAATACACGGTTAGTAATATTTTAAGATTACAGTTTAGGAACATGGAGAAATAAATCGAAAACCGAGCGCACTTTTTTGTGCGCAATAAATATACAGTTTTTTCAATGGGTGGCACTGTAGCTCTCCGGTCTATCAATACATATTTTTTCGGAGAGCTACAGATCTGCAGCTTGGGGGGGGGGGGGGTATGGGGTGAGAGAATTCAAAGTATACAAGATTTTTTTCAATGAAAAAAAAAAAAGCATAATTAATACATACTTATCAAAAGCAATAAATTGGCTAGCAAAATATACCTTTCTCTAAGTTAGAACTTCTAAAATATTGTAAATTTAAAACCACCTTTCAATTTCAAGTTTATTCACATATTTTTTTAAAAGTCTGTATAAGGTCCAATGCTACCATATATGATTGGTGTGGAAGAGCAAAATTAATGTTTTAGAGATGTTTACATGTATTGTGCGTGGACACACACAGATAGCCCCGGCCTGACTGGTCACTGTAAATCTTGGTCAAGTGGGCTGCCACAATGACATGTGGTGTGAGGAATAATGAAATGTCCAGTTTAATTATCATCTTATTAGTAATGGATTCACTGACTTGTAATATATTGTGTACAGTCTGTATTCTCCTAGCAAATTTAGCTCATGTAGATCATAATTATATACATAGCAAAGAATATTTATTGATTGGAAAACTACAATGTGTAACATATGTTAGGCTGATATATTAAATCTCTCTTTTCAAAAATCCTCAACATGTTTATTTGTTTTCATACAGATCGAGACTTAATACATTTATAGATATATAAAGATTATGACTGCATGAACAGCTGGGGGCCAAAATTAACAAAGACCAAAATTTATTTGCAATCACAATAGCTTTATAGATTGAACATTGTCAAAAAGAAGTTGTATTTGAAGAAAAATAAATGACGTTTATAGAGAATATGAAATATAATTAGGAGTAAGACATGTTCCTCAAACTTGTAGAATATATTTTTCGCAAGAATTTGTTATTCAGCATTAATCACTACTTTCACAGTTCCCGTACTACAAAAAAATTGAGAGAGGATAATAAGTCCACTGGGCATTAATTTGTACAAGATTCCATAGGAATGTATTGATAATTCCTTAATGCTTAATTCCGTAAAAAAATTACAAGAATATAATTTGCTTTCATAATATAAAAATTTCTGATACATACCCGGTAATTTTTTTTTTTTTTTTTAGATATTCTGAAAACAGATCAGAAAAAAGATATTTCAGAACATAATATTGCTTAAAATACTTTAAAAAGATTGCAGTATGTTAAGTTCAGTTGAGAATATTATAAAACTTTGATTTCAGGAATCATATTTAAAATTTACCTTTTATCACCACAACACTCTGAATCTTAATTCACAGATAATGAAGGGTTATAAACAATCTATTTTTTTTTTTTTTTTTTTAAGCATAATCAATTTAGGAGATATTAGAAGCTTACACATCTATTGATTTTATTTTGGTTGAATTTTTTATAAATTTAATCAGATATCATTTTATTTCAGATTTTTTTCTCTCCCTGGATGCATGCATTAACCCTTAAAATACATGCAGGCATGTACTTCTCTTATCATACTGATAAATCAAAAATGCAAATTCTGAATATTTTTCAGTGAACCTTTTATCAGCTAAATTATTTCAAATATAAAATCAGAGGTGTGAATCTAAAACCTTCTTTAGATTGAAATGTAATTTACAGGGCAAATACGGGGTAGTTGGTGGTGGACTCTATTGTAAAATATGCCTCCGTTTAGGAAGATTTTTGTCCCGTCCATTAAACTGTTTGTTTGTTTGACTGCTTTTCCATAACTTTAACCTCGCCCCTATTACTTTATAGTGAGCAGCCGATATGACATTCATATTTCAAAGGTGTATTCCTTGTGACAAGACCTTTCTTTGGGTACCACCAAATTTGACCTATTGACCTTGACCTTTGAGTTGAGCCACTTTAAAAAAATTACCACACTTTAACCTTGGCCATAACTTTTGAACAGTAAAGCTTAGGGTCAGGGATTTCATACTTTACATGTGTATTCATTAATTGTGACAAGACCTTTCAAAGGGTATAAATAATTTTGACCTTAACCCACTTATAAAAAAACTTTTACTTTGAATAGTTAGCACTACAGTGCTTTCATATTTCACAGGTGTATTCTATATGACAAGACCTTCCTTTGAATACCAACAAACAACTTTTTATCTTTTGACCTTGACATTAGCTACAATACAGGGGCATCAGTATATAATAGCTACAATACAGGGGCATCAGTATATTACAAACATATATCTTGTTTTCTTAAATGTCCTAATGGTCAGCCCGGGCCTCTGCCCTCCTTCCCAGCACCATGCAGCTCTTGACCAGTCAACAAAATATTCTATATCCGAGTTTTATCTTTCAAGAAAAATGAATTTCTTATGCATATTCTCACTGAGCTAATTGAATCTATCTATTTATCCTCTTAGATCAGTTATCTGTTGAATTTTACAGTCTCCATGCAGTGCTGACAAATCTGTAGAAATATGATTTAAAGCTATGAAAATGATACCCACCAATGACACATATAGTCCTCTATATTTTCCTTTAGATGTCAAACTTCAAAGTAAATGATGGATTGATAATTAGAATAACTCTGCATGGCGCAAAAATTTCCTTAAAAGTCAAAGAATGAAATCCCTCTATGTTTGTATCAAGGGCTTGATCGTAAAATTATACCGTTTATATGCTGTGGATTTGTTTGGAATACTCGTAAACGACATGTGGTCAAGACTCAGGCCGGCCTTAGATTTGACTTTAAATGTCCACTAGCTTTGCTGTATTTGACATAAGATGACCTGAAGTAATTGAATTTTTTGTTGTGTTCAGTGTTCCGAGCACAGTTATAATGAATGACCCACGTAATTAGTGGGATTAAATCCATCAAGGGTGATATCCCACTTAAATCTGAACCTCATGCAGTAATACACACAGTTATATTTGAAATTCTCATTTTTAGAGGTAGAAAGAGGGAGAAGAGAGACAAAGAGAGAGAGAGAGAGAATGGGGAGATCAAATAGAGAGAGAGAGAGAGAATAACTCAGGGAAAACAAAAGAGAGCGACTTTAAGAGGAAGATAGGATTCATAATGTGTACCCCGAGTAATCGAATTTAAATAGCCTATTGATAATTTAGTGAAATTCATGACCCTCAATACTCAATTTTCTACTTTTACTTCACATTAAAATCAATTTAACTCCAATATATTGACAATTTTATGTTATCATTGCAAATAATGACTAATTTCCATAATTTTAAAAACAGATTTTTTTTATGGAAATTTAACATTATCAGTCCACATAATGAAAAAAAAATAACTTTTAAAAATTGACCTTACCTGCTTAATGCAGAAAATATATTGATTAAGGAATGCACCAATCCAGAGCTGAATGTTTGTAAACACAAGACACCTTAAAGTTCCTCCCTATCTCTGAATGTGTGATCAAGTCATTGATTTTTTAATGTGTGCTAGCTATGAAAGAAAACAAAGCCCCCCTTTAACACTGACAGTTTGCTACCAGAGAGGCCTTTAGTCCAAATAATACTGATTCCTCGATCACCGTAAATATGGTCCACAAAGAATTAAATGCACAGAAAATAAATGTTAATCCTCTCGTTGAAACATTTTCTCAGGTCTAAGTGCCTATGAAAATATCGTCCAAGAGATTATATTGGTTGGAATTTTGAAGTATAAATTTCTTACTCCAATATATTTAGCTCTTACCTTGCTAAATTTTATTCATACAGCATTAAATAGAGTGGTCAGTGTTAAACATCCAGAAATAAATTAAGTAATCCATATATAATCACATGTTGACCAGGTAGACAATGGCTAGGTGTATAAATAATTTACGGAGGGGAAATTAACGCAGTTTTACCTGGGCTACCTTTTTTGAGACAGGTAAATCCAGAGTTCTCAGTGCTGGCCTCTTAACCTTCCAATGAATTCCCCTAATGTGATCGTTCTCTGTGAAATTATCAAACAAAACGCATCAATCAATTCCGAAACGATACATTTTATCATGCGAGCGAGAAAAAAAAGGACCCTCTGTTGTATTTAAGAAACATGACCCAAGTTTAGTATTTTACAGAACGGATTATTTAGTTAAACGCAAAAAAATGTTTTCACTGAACATAGCTCTTAAACATGCAATTTTAAAAGTCCTCCTGCATACCAAAGTAGCTTAAAGAAGGATCTATTGCTTGAAAAAAAGATAATACTAAGAGATTCTTTCTTATTTTCTTACAATTTGTTGAATTTTAAACATGTGCTTTATTTGCATTGTAGTATTGCATTTTCAAGGGAGTTAAATTTCAACAATTTTATCAGTAAATCATCTACTTAAAGATATCCTTTTCTTCAAATAAATGTATATATAGAAAGTCAAGTTTATTGTTCATTTTGAGAATTATGTGCTAAAAATTCATCTTCTCTGTCCATTTTATCATTCATTAAAATCTTTTAGTCTGTGAAATGTTTTGTCACATAAAAACCAAATGTGTACCCATCATTATAAATTCATTTGCCCATGATTGTGCTAAATTTTGGGAAATATGCTGCAAGTAAAAATTTGAGTCCATTGTGTCAAGCTGTTTACAAATATTTAAGACAGCAAAAGCAGATTTTATGCCTGATAAATCCAATTTTAAATAGATTTCAAATTTGTATGACAATAAATTGTCAATTTAGGGAAAATTTACATAAGCTTTTGACTTTATGAAGATAAATTTCTAACATAAATTTTACCCCCTTTTAAGCACACCTTTGACAAAAAAGATTCATGCATGCTTTAACTTTATATCTAAGTATTGCCAATGTCTGTTCAGTAGTTAAAAAATGAAGAAATTCTGCACAACTTTGTAAAGGAAAATTTTATTACTTAATGACGAATATAAAAACCAACTTTTGAAGTAGTTGCATTCATTTCATGTTCTTTTAATGGTTTTATGGGATTTCAAACACAGAAATTTAAACTGTTGGCCAAAAAGCTGCAGGTAAGAAATTTGGGGTCTCATGAAGGTTAAATTTAAAATCAGATTTTTTTTAAAACAAGATCGAGTTGAAAATGTCGCAGTGTCTGTACACACATTTTAGTGATTAACACTTTTTTCTTAGTTTTTCACTCAAAAATAGCACATGGACTTAAAGCTGACCACTGACATGACGCATTTATCTTAATATTTTGCCATTACCCATGCCCCAAAATTTAATTTGAATTAGCTTCGCTTAGCGTTCACACAGAGATAATGTGAAGTAATTAAATGTGCAGTAAATTCATTCGAATTAAACTAATTCGCATTAAATTCTCCGTGTGAATGGTAAGTGAAGCTAATTTGCAGTAAACTTTAATTTCGTTTAATTCAAATTAAACTCTCCATGTGAACAGGGCATAAGAGGAGTAGCATTTTGAAAAATTGTGTACAGACAGACAGACAACTTGACGAATGGATGGACGACAGACACCTTACTATAGCATAAGCTCTTCTGGTCTCTGACCTGAGTAGAGCTCAAAAGTACATGGTCACTCTGATGTTTACATCATTACTTATTACTTAATGTATTATTTTACTTGTCATATTGTACTATTTCACCCTGTCTCCAGGGGCGGATCCAGGAATTGAAGTTAGGGGGGGTGCAAGATTTAGACAGGGGGTCTGGGGGCCGCCTTGAGGCCCCCAGTGGAAGCTCACAGATTCTAGAGGTTTTTTTAGGGTAAAAAATGAGGTCTACCGAGTAGACATTTTAAACATTTTCTTGACAAAGCTATGTTTTATGCTAACTTTGACAATTTTAGGGGGGGATGCGCGCCGGGTGCGCCCCCCTTAAATCCGCCACTGGTCTCAAATTACATGGTACATGTACCAGTAGTCCAGTACTGTTTGTTCATGCTGACTGACAAAAATAAACATCTTCGTAATGTTAAAACCTTATTCGATTCTTCAAGGTGCAACTATAATTATCATATACATGATATATATACATGTAAATATAGTCACATAATTATACATTTAACAATAATATATTTTTATTTTGTTTATGCCATACAAAATTCAATTTAGAAACTTAAAATGATGAAAGATATTGGTGAATCTATAAGGATAATTATTTTTTTAAAAACGAGTAAAAAATTCTTTTCTATCGAGCAATTCTTCAATTGGATTCTAAAATCCATGTGTAACCAAGCATGGACCGTCAAATTAGATTGATAGATTGGTTTGAAGAAATGAAACCTCTCATTTTCCCATTACGATGTCCAACAAAAGGCCACTTGTCATGAAAGGTGAGAAAGTTCACTTTGAAGACGATTTAGGTTTCAGCCGCTCATTACACAATGGGGCAACACCAAACTCTTTCTAACGGTAACCATTAATGCACCAGATACAAAGTTAATCTTCTACCTTAATTATAAATCTTTGGCAAGCAAGCAGGTGAAACAAATTTAATTACTAGATAGGTAGGAGGGGGTGTGCATGTTAAAAATGCACACAATGCACACAAGTTCAGTACTTATAGTGCTATGGAAAATTTTTGTAAAACACATCTCGTCTTTATAACTATAATTAAAATAATTAGTATGATCAATTTTTTGTCAAAAGATGCTTTGATAAAAACGTGCGCACTGTGCATCTGATAAGGGTCTAACTGAGAATTCTCTCAATATAATCAACTGTGTGGAAAACTGAATTGAAAAAGATCTGCAAACAACTCTTAATGCTGTTAAGGTTTGTTACGTGTTACTTCTCAGCATACACAATTTTACTTTTCATTTCAAGAATGAACACAAGTTTTTGAGGCATACACACCCCTTTCTTACATATGTAATCAATTTGAAGATTCATTAATAAAGTATTTATACACATTAACATCATTTTTTCTTGTTCTTGATGTATATTTTTGGTGTATTACATCTTTCTTTTTCTTTAGTCATTCATATTTTGAGAATGCATCCCCTTTGAAGTTTAATAGCATCATTTGTTTAATTAAACTGTCTGCTATCCACCCCCTAGCATATTAATTAATTCAAAAATAAAATGCAGTAAATGTTCTTGTTCAAAATGGTTTTTCCAAATAACAATAATTTTCTGATTATCTCCCTTTAATGATCATAAAATCTAACAAGCTAAAAAGATCCTTGATTACTTGAGTGTTTGTGGGGGTTCAAAAATCATTAAAATGATCAAACAAGTACTTGTTTAGTAAATGTACTGTAATTGAATTTTTTCTTTCTTCCTAAGTTTTCTTTTTATTATAGAAATATTTTCATAGTCGATCACTGTACAAAGCAATAATTTTACATAAGTTATTCCCCTTGCCCCTAAATCAAGGAAACTAACAAAGAATTATTAGAGAGAGAGAGAGAGAGAGAGAGAGAGAGTAAAAGAGAAAGAGCAAGAGAGAGTAAAAGAGAGAGTAAAAGAGAGGGAGGAGAGAGAACGAAAGAGAGGAAAAGGAGAAAGTAGGAGTCTAGAGAGAGAGGGACAGATTGTGGAAAAGAGAGAAGGGAGAGAGAGAGAGAGAGAGAGAGAGAGAGAGAGAGGAGAGTAAAGGAGAGAGAAACGAAAAAGAGAGAAAAAAGAGAGACAAATTGTGAAAGATAGAGAGAGGGGGAAAGAGAGAAAGAAAAGAAGAGTGAGAAAGGAATGGGAGAGCACTCAGTCTAGTACTTACTCATCACTGTAGTAGAAAACTCCGGGGTCACTTGTTCTCCGCGCGGTATAACTAGGACATGTCAATGACGGACCACTTGTAGGACTGGACAACAATCGGTTGCGAGCAGAAGTCCGAGATCCTGTGGACCGCAGCTTTAATGTCGGTGCAAATGGCATGTCGTTAATTTCCTCCGATACTTAAGTCAGGGCCATGAGGTTTTGTAAAAAATCTGGGAAAAACAACAGACTGATCACCGAGAATTATAATGCTTGTTGATTACATGAAATTGCTAAATAATGCAGACAAATTGATAGAGAAAATGGTTGGTATTTATCGCCAATCATGTGTCAAGTCCATGCAGATATTGATTCTGGAACCTGTGGATCTTTCTGGCTGACTATACATATTTATCTTCATTTAGCCCAGTTTTAATTGTCTCTTGAAGATAATCAGCATCTTGTTATTAATGTGATCATAGGGATTGCAAGCTAGGTTATCAAAATATCATGTTCTGGACAATTTTAATAGGGAATTTTTTCTCTTCAGTCTGAAAATACAGAGCTGATAAAAATGCTGAGACATTAATTGACCTAATTAGTCTACAGTATGGTCCAACTCAGATAGTCGCTACTTTTATCAATACATTACATGTACTTTAAAAAAATCTTCAAATTATAAACATATTAATTATCTATACCTTAAAAGATGAACTCTTAATAAAAGGTCCACATATTTTAAATGGAGAACATAATATTGATCCTACATGTATGACATCATAATGCAGGGATGAGATAAGATCGAGTTCACAGAAATTTAAACATAATTTTACTTCCTTTCCCAATATTGAGAAATTAAAATTCAAAACATACATGTGTAGAAGGACTAATTAAGATAAAGTCTTTATTTTACAATTAAGTACAAACTTCAAGTCAAAAATTTGACAACTGCAGTTGTAGCAACCACAATAGAATTTTAAAATACTAATTCACAATGCAAAAATGTATGCTAGGCCTAAAAGGAATCTATTTAAAAAGGTGTATAATTCCATAAACTGAATTCAATGTCAAATTTTATGATCTGTGATTATTTTTGACTACAGACACTAGCTTATTAACTGAAATATACATGTATCATAGGAAATATAAACATTGTACATTTCTTGATCAAAAGAAATTGAAAAGGAAATTGAATTAAATAATTCATTTACCTGTGAATGTTTTCATATGACTTCAAAGACAAGATTCACTAGCAATCCATCTGTCATGTCCCAACTATGTATAAAGCCATTCCTTTAATCAGAATTAACACAGCAAAAACCTGCAGGTGAAAAAAAAACCCAACTCAAATCTTGGGTTCTCATTATTTTGATTATAACTGATAATTTACTTTACGAACATGCATTGCACATTTTAAAAATTTACACACCACATACCAAATCTCACCAGGTATTGTGTAAACATTGCAGATATAAATGTTATCTACGTAATGCGTACTTCTCTTTAAAAAAAAACGGAAAAAATAATCAAAAAGTTTTCACCATGAATAACAACTAAAATGTATTTGCCTGTTCATCTCAATGTTGACACTGACTGTAATGAAATCTCTGATTTTTTTTAAAACTAGTTGCATGCCTTTAAATGTACTGTTGTCAATTATTTCTAATGAATTAATGGTTGAACACTTTTCAGTCTACTCTTTAAGGCAATAAAAGTTCTATTTAAAGTATTTGCCAGTATGTCATTGTAAAATGTTGTTTGTTAAATTGTCCTGAAATTGGATACACACGGTTATGAATTACAGGAAATTGGCAAATGAACAAATAGTAAAAAATAATATAAGAAGGATTTTTTTATTTGTATAAGCTAGAGTGTATGTCATTTGTAAATAATTTTGACAGATAAATTAAAGCCAAATAAAGGTTTAAATCTCATAAAACCACATTTTGAGAGGTTTTTCTACATTAAGAATAAGATTTATGAGCAATAATCTTAATGGATATCTTTGAAAATGAAAAATATTAGAAAATGAAAAATATTAGGGGATTTAATATGTTAAAATATACACTTAACTTTTGGTATACATGTATTTCCATTTATTAATCAGGATTTTCAGAAAGTCTGTAGGTTCAAAACTAAAAAAAAATCTAAATAGCTGGGTTTTTTTTGGCAGGGGGTGAGGTGGGGGAGGGGGGGGTGAAGGGGAGTGTCCTAACATCATCATTGCAGTTACTTAATGTGTATCATGATTTTGCATGTTTGAAATGTATGCTTTAATTATTTCTACTACCTCAAGTCCCTTAATGACAAATGATTTTTAAGTAACTTGATTCAGTATATAAATCTTTACCTGATCGAACTGACAGTCAAACTGTTATCTTAATTGGAATGTGTATGAGATATTAATGTTTGAAATATTGAAATTCAACTGAAGGAGTAATGTTTATTTTTATATTGTCTTATGAGAACTGTGAAGACCTACATGTACATGTACAACTAACCAGCATACATACCTGAGGTGCTGTTGTCTGTCTGTCTGCATGAAAATCCAGTCCAAGCTTTTATGTCGACACAGATTCCTGTAGATTTCATGAGCCGTCAGGACTTTGTCTTCCATCTCTGATCTCTTCACAAATATCACTGGGGACTCCACTGATAACTTTGTTGTCTGGTTCACATAGAATCCTCCCTCATCCACCCCTTCCACCCTTCTCTCTGGAATTAAGGCCTCTATCTGTTGTGCTGGGTCCATCATGGAGATCGATGAAGGAAAGTCTAGCACCGAAGGAGCATTTAAACTTAATTCTAGCTGTATGCTGAGCTTTCCACATTCTAAGATAGCGCCCTGCTCTTTTGACCTTGACACAGTGTTCAAGGTCAGCTAACTGTTGAAGCCTTTCCACGACATCTTTTATAAATATTAGGACTAGACAAAGGATTGCTGGCTGTGGGCCTGTAGCTCTAAAGGCTTCCTGAAATGGAGGAAATCTTTACATTTTACTTCACTAGAAAAACTGACTCAGTAATAAAATATTATACAAATATATCTGCTATTCATTTCAATAACATGTAGCTTTTCATATTTGATGAAATTTTACATATTTTGTAAAATTTGAAAACTCTCCGCAACTTTTCTGACTCTGTCATAAAAACATCTTGTAGATGTCTAAAAAGAAAATCATTTTCACATTTAGAGACTGGCCACATATATACAGAAATTATCTTATTGTTGTAAAAAGAACATTCTTCTTGTATTGGAACACGGGGGAAATCTCTTATAAAAGTCTTAATACATGTATTTTTTTCTTATTTGGGGTAGGAGAAGGTAATCGATCCACATCCCAACCCCACCCCCCAAAAAAAATATATATATATACATGTAAATCAGGTACATGTTAAGCTTAATTGTTTAAAACTTTATATGAACGTAACCTTATTCAATACGTGCACACGTGTTTTCCTGGTTTGAAAAGAAAAACGACCACGGTCTCCAAACTGAAGTAAGAGAGATAACTCATTTCAGACACCTGGAAGTTTACACCTGCTGGCAAGGTGATCCGATGCCGATCCCGATTCCAATCACTACAGAACAGTAGGGAAAAGTATCACAGGCACCTGAAGTATGGATAATAAACCCCCCCCTTTTTTCAATGAAAAAAATGTAAGAGTGTATAATACCTCGAAAATATAAAATTTCCCCGTCAAACACATCAAAATGTCGTTATATGCAAGCAGATTGTACTTTTTCTCACGTTTAAAGAATGACCCTATTCGGTATAATAAAAATACACAAGGTAAGAAACAAAAGTTGTAAACAAACGGGGGGTTCCTCGCTTCGAGACAGATTTCCAAAGTAATTACAGTGTTACCTATTATGATTTTGCAAGCACTCTGTCTGGGAGATGTTTTTCTACAAAACTAGTTAACCTAAACCCCGACATTGATGGTTAATATGCCGTAATCGGACGATTTATTAATCGGATACATAAAATTTTCTCCATTGGCAGCGTTAAAGGAGGTTTTGGGGCTGCTTTTCTGTTTCGCCTTATCTGATTGGTTAGATATTTAAACTGTATAACAATTAACCAGAGAGAGGAACGAAGCGTAATCAGCCGTGGGTTTCCGACGATGGTATCTTCAACTATTTCAACTTATTTTAAGTAATTTGAAAATAGATTTTGAAAGAAAATTTACACAATTAAATATAGTACAAACAAGGTTATTTTTACAAGACTGACGTGTTAGTGGTATATAAATAAACTAATCCTTGCGCTGATCCAGTATGCTAATGACCAGTGCAATTTTCCTGCGATAACTAGTGATGAAGTGTTTATATATAGAACACTACTTATGTTTGTAAACAAAGCAAGAAACACCTAGTTAAGATAGTCGAAGTAAATCAAATATTAATCTGAAAGGGAAGAAATGAGCTGTACCAGTTGATAAAATATTTTTATGTAAATGCCATTACTTCTTGTGCAAACAATAAAAGAACCACTGTCTTCCACAATTTAGATCTGCATCACAGCAAGCTTTAAATACAGTAAAGGTCACTTAACATGTCTGTGATTCTTATCTTATTGTCTGCGATACTCTAGAAACAGAGTTCCTTTACTATATATCCAGCTGTGTCTTACTATCAGATGCTGGCAATGTGATACTGTGAATTTAAAGTACAGAAGACAGTAAAAAAAATAATAACCAAAAAAAAAAAAAATACAGAAAGATAAAATCGGGTTTTATTCATAAATAAAATGAGAAATGTTTGTTTATAAATGTTAATCAAGAGACTGAAAAATTAAATATATTCAATAGTAAATAGATTATGTAAACGATAAATATACAATGCCATTGTGATAAAGTTTTAGTTTTCAGTGAAAAAGCCAAAAAGAATTAAAATATTAATCCTTCATGAATTTATCAATGAAAGTCATGTAGTTGAATTAAGAGCTAAATTGAAAGAAATGCAATATTACATGTGCAAATCAATGAATTGAAGTCAGGTAGATATATTTCAAGAGTGTCTAAACCAAACAAAAAACATAAAAGTAAAATGTTCATTTCAACTAAATGTCAAAAAGCGTTGAATTTTAAGAGCAGCTAAAAAGGGAGAATTTAAGAATTTATTTTGCATATCAAAGACCATACAAGACAAAAAGTTGAATTTCACGAGTGGCTAAATCAAGAAAATATCAAATATACATGCAAATTTTGAAAGACGAGGAGCCGAATTTCAAGAACATATTAAACAAATCAAAAATTTTGAATTTTGTAATATGCATATCAATGAAAATAGAGGATTTGAAATTTAAGAGTGGCTTAATCACGAGAAATAAAACATATTGATGTGCACTGAAAATGTCAAATTATTTGTCAATTTATGAAAATAATGAAAATATTTGATGTGCATATTAATGATTTTATTCATTTGTGCTCTTTGTAAGTTATAATTCCCTATTTTAATGTTGTTGAAGGTTGGTCCTCTTAGTTTGAAAAATTTGTGTGAAAAGCTGCTTTATTTTTTTTTTCATCAAAGCACATAACACATATAACCCAAATATGTATCAGTAACCTCAACTCATTTTAACAGTAAGTAGTTGATCCTTACATCGTGCGTTCGAATCCCACTATGGGATGTGGCGACCGGTCCTTCAGATGAAAACGTATAAATGGAGGTCCTTTGTCGCAGTATGTGCTGGCACAAAAAAGATCCATCACTGATCAATGGCCGTAAAATGCCGACCATAGGGCAAAATTTGCAGCTCTACATTGGCAAGTGGTGATGCCTAGTAATATGAGTAAAAATTCTCGAGAGGGATGTTAAACAACGTACAAACAATACCATCAACTCGAAGCAGTACTTTCAGTACTTTGATTTTTGGATAGCAACAGTTCACAGGCACTTGGGGGGGGGGGGGCTGCACCCCCTTTTCATTCTTTTCTTTTTTGGGTCGACATACACCTTTTTCCTATTTTATTAGTCTGATATGCACTACTTGGTATTGATAATGTTACCCATTTGTCTTTATAGGCCGTTTTTAATAGATCATTTTCGACTATGTGTCAGTCGAACAGGCTTATTGAGTCAAAAGGATTAAACTAAAGTATTGTTATATTAGACTACCAAGATAGGAAAAAGGTGTGTCGACTCCAAAATTTAAAAAAATTAAAGGAGCTGGACCAGCCCCCAAATGCCTTGCTACAGTTATGCAGCTAATTTTTTACTTACTAAAATGTGGTTTATGCATAATAAACAATTGCGGCAATAGTGCTCTAGACTTAAGCAGGTGTTTTTTTTTTTTTTTTTTTTTTTAAATATTTCTTCAAATTGAATCATTTCAAATTCTTGAACTTCGAAAGTAAGAAACAGTGTGTGACGTGGAATTTCGGGGAGTCAGGTTACACCATATGTTCAAAATAGCAAAATGAAGCTACGCTCTATTCAAGGTCAAAAAGGAGTATAGTTGACCAAAAACAATGCTTTGAAGATCGGGTAACACTTGTTTTAAAAAAAAAAAAAGTGTATTGACGTGGTACAGTTCAAACAATGTCTATAACAGGCCTTTTAGATTTTCATTTGACTGCCTGACAGGTTTATTTATTGGTGAAGAAAATATGTAGATATGTATCTATCATGTTTATATACATATACTATCATGTATATAATTTTATATATAGAACGATCAGCTAGTAGAACAGGTAAATTAAAAAAAAAGATCCAGTCCCTTTTTTGTGACCGAAATATACATGATTTGATTAAGATATTTGTTATTGTTGCACAGAGTATTTTGAAATTATTTTACCGTTTTAATTAAAATTACCATGATGCCCCTTTGTAAGAAGTTTTCGATCCGCCACTGAGTATAAGAGCATAAAGCTTAATATTATTTCTTTCCTGTAAGTAGCAATATTGAAATGAATAATATACAGCAGAAGACCTCAAATATCTCAGTACATGTAGAGAAAGAGAATAAATCAGTGACGAGATGAGATTCAATGAGTTCTGCATGTTATATAATCTCAGCAAGATTCTTGGAGCCTTCGAAAAGACCTCGATCTGTCCAAAATTTACAGTTGAGATTTTTATTATATGATTTATTGTGCAGATACTCCAGTCCTAGCAATCACTCTATGGATGGTTTTTAATTGGAGGTGAAAAAGGGGGAAGTTGGGGCGTCTTATGTTGCATGTCAGGAAAGATAACTCTAATTTTCAGTCCGGAACTTGGGTCACGTGATTCAACATTGTCTTTGTCAACCATCGCTGTAGTGTGTCACACCATATATGGTCGAAGGTCCTAAATTCGACAGGGTCCGAATTTCGACGGTTTTGTTATTTTGTTTATATCTGGTTCGTTCTCGCGAGATCAGGCTGGTCTGTGTAAACATAGTACCCCTGTAGACTTGCGATCATATTACCTATATCATGGATTAAAATGCATTTCAGACAGGAAAACATTCGTTTCATATAGTTTTAGACGAAAAAAAACAACTCAGTTCAGTCGCTGAGAAGGATCTTTTCCCGCTAAAACGGTAAAAAAAAGTTTTACTTTCAGTTTTGATTTTAAAAGGTTCATAGTCGAAAATACTTTTATAGAATAGGCCTATTGAAAAAAATTATAAATAAGTTAGGCCTAGTAATTGCAATAAATGTTTACGGATAAGTTGTCATATTTTTAACAAACAGATAAACATGGTAAAAGAGCATAAAATTATATTTTGATACAACCTGATGGCTGAAAACAATGTAGCCACGAGGATTTTTCTTAGAGAAGTGGACAGGCTTTCTCCTATTCTCTTTAGAGAAGTGGACAGGCTTTCTCCTATTCTCTTTAGAGAAGTGGACAGGCTTTCGCCTACATCCACGAAGGTCCACTTCCCTAAAGAGAATACATTCCATCATGATCATGATTCCGAGGTAAAAGTGTTATATGTTAAAAACCCAATTTATTTCAAGAATATGCAATGAAAGTCAATCATTTCAAAATGTATTCAAATGTTCATCATATAAAACATGAAAATTAAGACGAAGCTAGTATTCCAGTATTATTAATTAAAAAGGAAATTTAATGTTAAAATAATTCTCATTGCAGAACTCTATAAGTTACTATGGACCCCCAGCAAAGTGCCCAGGATGCTATAAGATGTGACCTATGTGAGACAGCTATAGTAAAGGTGTACTGTGATTTCTGTCATGTCAACCTCTGTAAACCCTGTGTTGGAGAACACATTGCTGATGAATATGACAAACATAAAATTGTCCCATTCCAACAAAGAAAATCCACCTTGATTTATCCTAAGTGTGCAACGCATTCAACCAAAAACTGTGAATTACAATGCAAAGAATGTGACATTCCTGTTTGTGCCTTTTGCTCAGCATTACAGCGACATGAAGGACATAAATTTTTAATCCTTGAAGAAGTTTACACCTCAAAGAAAAATGAAATTGCAAAAGATACTGAGGAATTACAAGACATTATCTCCCCTACATATGAAGAAATTGCAAATGATCTAGAAACACGGATAGCTAACTTGGATGGAGAATATGAGAACCTTACAACAGCAGTGACAGAACATGGGAAACAATGGCACAAAGAAATTGACAATGCCATCAATGCCATGAAAAAAGAAATTGATGATTTTAAAACAAAACACCTTGACATATTGAAGAAACATGCAGAAGAAATCAAACAATTACAATCTCTTATTAAAGAAACTCTACTCAACTTGAAGAAAATTGAAGAATCCAATGAAGTGTCCATGACTATAGAATACAGCTCCAGAAACAAAGAATTCAGTAAACTTCCTCCTAAAATTCAAATATCACTGCCAATTTTTAATCCAAAACCAATAGATAAAGAACAGCTTTATAAGTTTATTGGAATTCTATCACCATTATCTACATCAACAGATGAAAATGGCTACAAACTGCAGACACCAGGGACATCAACAAGAGAACTGCTGGAAGAACCCAAACTTATCACTACTATAGATACTGGGTATGACAAACTCCGCTGTGTTACCTGTTTAAGTGAGGAAGAAATCTGGACAAGTGGACAAATCGGTGATATGAAATGCTTCAACATTCAAGGTTCACTTATCGAGACAATCAAGACAAAATCAGGGGAATGGCCAATGGACATAGCAGTGACAAGTGATGGAGATCTATTGTACTCTTACTGGGAAACAAGGACTGTGAATAAGGTGAATAATGCACAGACAGAGGTGATCAGACTACAGGGCTGGAGACCTTTACATCTCTGTGTCACTTCCTCTGGTGATCTCCTGGTTACCATGTACAGTGATGATGGCGATGTTAATGATGATGATGATGATGAGGAGGAGGAGGATGATGATGATGATGAGGAGGAGGAGGAGGAGGATGATAAAACACAATCCAAAGTTGTGCGTTACTCAGGGTCTACAGAGACACAAACAATCCAGTTTGATGAGGAGGGTAAACCTCTGTATTCAGGAAATACCGAATATAAGTTCATCAGTGAGAACAGAAACCTGGATATCTGTGTGGCTGACAGTGAAGCAGGTGCTGTAGTGGTGGTCAATCAGACTGGAAAACTCCGATTTAGATACACTGGTCATCCTTCTACTACAAAGAACGAACCATTTGAACCTTTTGGAATCACAACAGACAGCCAGAGTCAGATCCTGACAGCAGACTACCATAACCACTGTATCCACATCCTAGACCAGGACGGACATTTCCTCCATTATATAGATAACTGTGATCTGAAGGAGCCATTTGGTTTATGTGTGGACAAAAGTGATAATCTGTTTGTCACTGAATATGAAGGAAAGATTAAGAAAATTAAATATTTTAAATAGATTTAGAAGCATGTATGTGAATGTAAATAGTATATAAAATATTAAAGTTCTCGTTTGTTGTGCTTTTATAATACAGTGTATTTGTTAAAATTGTAGTCTTTGAAATCATGAACTGCAATTCTTCAAAATTTATCCAATTTATATAAAGTATATATGTTTAATATGCAGATTGGGCCATTTAATAAGAATACTTTTTTTGTTATTAAGGCATATTGATAAAAACAAACGACCTATGGGCAACAACACTCATCTGAGTAGCCAGATGTCCCCCCTTGATTTACTTATTGTGGCCACACTGACCCCGTGGGGTCATGATTGAAAAAAAAAAAATAGAATTTTACACTTTCGCGTCCCCAGGAGGCTACCACATAAATTTCAGATTTTCTGACCCAGTGGTTCTTAAGATATTTTTTAATGTCCCCACCCTATTTCTTCTTTTCTTGATAACTGTAAAATCACATTTTCGTCGCGTCAAACATTTGAGGATTGCGAGAAAAAAAATGGATTTCCAAGGATTTGATTTCAGAAATAAAGAAATGTTGAGCAGTAAATGTAAGGAATTTTACATTTCGTAGTGGATATTAATTCATAGGTATCATTTTCCTCGAAAACAACGCAAATTAAACCCCTTAGAAAATAAGTGTTTTCACAGTATTTATCCTTTTAGGGAGGTAGGTCCTTTATTTTTAATAATTTAACATGTAACTTCCTTGCATCCACAAATGCTCTGTAGCAACTTTGGTTGATATTTGGTCTAGTGGTTGACAATGTGAAAGTTTACAAAAGGACGGGCGTACAGCAGGTGCTCAGAAAAGCTCAGTAGAGTTTTCAGATCATGTAAACAAAAAAAAGGAAGTAAAGCATTGTATCGTCACTATCATGTGATTTATTTATGGTTTTTATGGCCAATTTCCATAACAAACATGTAACAAGGATAAACATAATATGTATCATATAAATCGAATTGAAACATTCTTCACCGGTTATAGATATAGCAATATTATCTTCCTGAATTAAGACATACTTAAATTGTAACACCATAAATTTCGTGTATATTCACATTGTAAATATTATATATACAGTTATAATGACCTACATGTAAATAAAACTGACACATCTGTCATATAGCTAGACTTTCATATATTATTTTT